GTAGTCTAGCGGTGTTAAATCCCAAGATCTTGGAGGCCGATTCACAGGTCCAAAACGTGAAATTAGGCGGTCATCAAACGTATCTTTCAATAAATCGATTGGACATCATGGTTATTTAAGTCAGGAATGAAAAAGTTAGTAATCATAGCTCTATACCGGTCACCATTGACTGTAACGTTCTGGCCATCATCGTTTTTGAAGAAGTACGAACCAATGATTCTACCAGCCCAGAAAGCGTACCAAACAGTCAGTTTTTCTGGATGTAACGGTATTTCGACATACACTTGAGGATTAGCGTCGCTCCAAGTGCGGCAGTTTTGTTTGTTGACGTAGCCATTCAACCACAAGTGCGCTTCATCGCTAAACAAAATTCGCTTAAGAACAACGGCAATCTCGTTTTGGGCCCATTCGACGAATCTACGCCTTACTTGATGATCGTTTGGCTTCAATTCTTGCACGAGTTGGATTTTGCAAGCACGTAAACCAAGATCCTTCAGCAAAATCTTCCATAGAGTGGATGGACACAGATCCAATTCCTGTGCTCGGCGGATGGACTTATTCAGGTCTCCTCAGCTCTACAGCAGCAATAGCAACTTCTGTACGCACCGTACGGCGTTCCATGGTTAATCGAATTAACTGCTCTGATGGACGATTTTGTCGACGATAAAATGGACGTAGTGCGCGATACGAATTCCCCACAGAACCATTATTTTCGAAATAAAATTGCACTATTTGCAAGCGTTGTTCAGGAGTGAGTCTATTCGTGATGAATTGCCAAACCAAACTGAGAATTAATCACTTGACAGCTGTTAAATCGGTCGCCATCTTGAACAGTAATGCCAACTTAAAGTTCTATACATCGAAAAAAAGCACCCATTAGTAATACCGAGATGTTTTACCATAGTTTAGAGTCAGTTTAAATGTTTCAGAATTTAAGATAGAGATGGTTCACATTTACAGGCCGGTTACACATTGTCTGTGAAGACCCTAACTTAGCCAAGGAGTCTCCAGCATTAAAAATATATAAGATAGTTCCATAGGAGCAGACAAGATATCAATAACTACCGCCCTATGGCAGTAGAAAGTCATTTATCGTTTATTTGAAATACTTCGATTAATATAATCTAATATATCAGCAACAAAACGGTTATTGCGGGGGTCGGTCGACAGAAACCGCACTAAATAAAGCAATTCGCCATATTTGCAATGCTTTGAGCTTAGGGCTATTTTTTGACATGTCTCGAGCTTTTGATGCAGTTGATCTTGATATTTTGGAAAATCTCTTTTTTAACAAAGGCGTTAGAGAAGCAACAAAATCAACAAAAAAATATAAAATAATTTTCAATTGGCTTTGATCTTTGATATATACATTTCTCAATTTGTTTTTTAATTATTTTATTATTGTCTTACATGTCTGTCCCTGTGGTTTGTTGGTATACATTTTAGATACTAAATTTTCTATATTGACGATCACATAATGAAATTGCGTATTTTCTATACGTTGTCGTTCAGAGGAATTAATGAATCTTACCTTTCGATAGCAATTTCGACCCAAATTACACAATTTTTGGGAATTCATTAGAGCACCACGTTAGTGATCATTCGATGCCAACGCCTTTATAATAGCAAACACTGCGAGTCCCGCGGAAACAAGCTTCTCATTTCCCCAAAAGGCCATCTGTTTCCCGGGTTTCGGGACCTTTGGCGGCTAGGGGGAGGTCCGAATATCCGTAGCAGCTTTGACGTTATCAGGGGAGGCGAGGCCACAACAATGCTTCAAGTATTTTGTATATTGTACGTTTGACTAAATGTGTCATGGTAACTCGTTAGTGTCGAATTAGCAAATCAAAAAAAAAAGACTGCAATTGGAAGAAAAATCATACAAGGATAGAACTTTTAAGAGGATTAAATTTTTAGGATCGTATATGTAAGAAAAAGCAGATATTAACCTTCAATTTTGTCTTGTTTGTACTGAGACTTGGATATTTGAAAATGGTACAATTGGGGTTGGCAAGATATCAATATAAAAACTGGAAACTGGAATTATAAATGTCACTTTACTCACCGATTAGTCCACTAGATTTTAATTGTGAATGGTATTTAAATTGACAGATGACATTTTTCTGTGCATTAGTTTTTTGGTACATTTTTTACAAAACAATACGAATATATTCACTGACATGACCGTCAGAATTGACAAACGTCAAGGCGTGAGAAATAGCTCCGAAGTTATCCGATTGCTCCCAAATCCGTGCGGTAAAATTCCGGAAGTATCCGAAGTGGCTCGGATTCGTGGGAAACGAAACTGACGTGATAAAGTGACGCTTCCCGCACGCTAGATCGGTGGGTACCTATTTTCAAAATAAACTGAAATATTCATATAATTGATATGAATATTTTGGCTTCGATGTTCATAATGTGTTGCTGAGAGTTTATTTCCCCTTTGATTATTTTTAACATTAAATTATTATAATTATAAGAAAAATATTAAATGAAAAAATATATTAATTTTTTGGTATAACTGATTTAGATTATTAATATCCTTTCTACCATCTATAGCATTTATTTATTAATTAATGTGAACCATTTCTTTTGCTGCCAATTATCATCTAGTGTTAAAATTTTAGATTCTCAAAAATTAAATTCAAGGTTTGCCAAATGTTCGTTTGTGCAAAGCACTTTATGCGTTTTTAGTATATTATTTATTAGTATATTTTTTAACAGTTGGTTGGTCATCATATTTTAAGGTGCGGGAGGCGTCACTTTATCATGTCAGTTTTCATTTTCGGAGATTTTACCGCACGGTTTGAACTTTGACATTTGCCAATTCTGACGGTTATGTCAGTGAATGAATTCGTGTTTTGCAAAAATGTACCCGAAAACTAATACACAGAAAAATGTTATGCAATGTCTCAGACAATCTAAATACTATGTGCTATAAGCTACAATTAAAATCTAGTGGACTAGTCGGTAAGTAAAGTGACACATTTTTAATTTATTAAATTCAAGGTATTGAATAGACAAAATTTGCTTTGTTTTTAATTGGAAGATTGGTTAGTTTAGTTAGTTGAAAGCATTGTCGCAAACTGTGATATCATATTTAGCACCATATTTTTGCATTCTATGTGTAATTGTATTGTTTTCTTAAATTTTATTGACAATATAAATTACCTATACTAAAATATATAAATAATTGGGAATTTGGAATAATAATAATAATTGTTGACATTATCATTTTGAAAATTTTAATTTTTTTACAAATTACGATTAAATAACACTGGTTGGCAATGAAATCCTCCTTTTAAAAAATTGATAAATATAATGATTCAAACGTTTTGAATCTGTCGCCGTTGGCCGATTTTTTCTATCACGTCTAGATTTTTCGATATAATTTTTTTTTATATTTCAAAATTTTGTTTTTTTTTTCAATTTTTTCATTCGTCAACGTTACAAAAAGTAAATATACATACAAAACGAGTTTCAGAGAGTTGTAAGAGAAAGGAGGGAAGTGCCAAAGGTAATTTTTATGGTAGTAAATACGCGCATGCCCAGTGTTCATTGTGACACTACAACAGTTCAGTGGAAACTTGTCGCTTAATTGTTTACCTTTTATATCAAATATTTTGGTAGGTTTTGCATAAAGTTCATGTTCTCTACATTGGATTTAAGTATTTGATGCGTAGTTTGAGTATTTTTTTTAAGTAGAGTCAATAAATATAAAATAGAAGTTTGAAAATTGTTTTAAAATTATGTCATGACCGATCTGCGAACAGCTTATAAGTTATATTTTGGATTTTCTATCGATGAGCGAGATAAAAGTTAGTTACCAAAAGTATGCTGCAATAGCTGCTCAAGAACGTTGAGAGGTTGGTTTGAAGAAAGTCACAAATCCATGCTGTTTTCAATGCCAATGATTTGGAGTGAGAAATAACAATCGTGGGAATGATTGTTATTTCTGCATGACATCTAAACGAGGATTTTCGAAAAAAATAGAGATAAGATTGTTTATCCGAACGTCCTATCTGCAAACAGACCAATTCCTCGTGATAGAGACACTCCACCTCCAGTTCCACCAGTTAATGAGGAGGCGAAAAATAAAAATATTTCAGGTCTACAATGTCAATCGAGTTTTCTTTCTGGTGGTACATCTTCATCTTCATACACTTTATCTGGATCTTCATATCCATCTGCAGAACCTTATTTACTTGAACAAGGCGACTTAAATGATCTTGTTGGAGACTTGGGACATTCAAAATCTAAGGCACAGTTACTCGGATCAAGGTTAAAACAGTGGAATCTATTTACTGCAGAACTCAAGCCACCACATTTTTTTATTCCTTATAACAATTTATACTTTAATAATATAGTTTTTTGATGAAATAAATATTAAATTAAAAATTTACGTGTAGTACTTATTTGTATATCAGATTCCGTGTTTAGAGCATAAAATAAGATGAATTCATGCATGAAAACAAGAAGGGGAGACCAGTGTAATTTAATGAAAGAAATTGCGGCGTTGCCAAGTTTGCAATTTATCTGAAACAAACGAAAAAAATAACGTCGGAACGGTGAAAATTGGGCCAAAGTGTTAACGAACGCGTGTATCGGGGAACATTTTTCGAGAAATTAATATTAACGTGAGAGCGGGTTCTCCTCTACCTCCGGCGAGGGCAAAGACTTTACGCGACCCTTTATGAATCTCGATATTATTAGGCACGAGATGTTAGACAATGCGAAATTAACTTTACGTCTCTCATTATTGAAAACAATTTTCCGCATTTCCTTCGTTGTTCGTTCTAGTTCTTTGCCTTGCCTTGACCCGTATCGTACATGATCAAATTCGTGAACAAAACTTATTCGATGCCAGTTTAATAGACTGAGATTCATATTAAATGTCAGTAACCATAGCAACGTTATACGTTGTACTAAAGACAGCGAAGTTGGCTTTGATGTGATAGGTTGCTGTCCTATTACGCTTTAACAGGGGACGATTTTTCCAGGTTGGCTGGCGCTTGACTGGAAGATGGGTGGCGGGAAATGTCGCCTGCAAGATTGTCCAATTTCTTCGCGCCTTGGGCCCTTATTTAAGCAGCAACGTCCTGATCTGCGTGTCACTAGACCGCTACTTCGCTGTCATGTACCCTTTCCGGGTAAACGTGGCTAGGAGGAGGGGAAAGGTAATGCTTGCGGTGGCCTGGTGTACCTCTCTCATCTACTGCATACCCCAGGTAAGGCCGTTTTGTTTAATTGGTGCGTGGTAATTGACATAATTTAATTTAACGAGATGGCAAGCGTTAAAACCCAAATTTATCCTGGACCACTTATCTAATCTCGCTTAAACAAATGGCTTCTTAGTCAAGAAAGATTAAAAATAAATTCTCTACTAATAAAAATTAACTCAATAGTTTGCCAATATGTTCTAAACTATAACAAACATCCCTTATGACAAAAAATGACAACTCTAAACTTGTTTATAACAGACTTTCTACTGACATAACAGTAAAATACATACATAGATAAAATTTAATTTTATCACTCCCACTCTAGCTAGCAAAAATTTTAAACGAGTAGATACTTCTTGGACAAAAATATTGAACATTTAAATATATTTTTATAAGAGTTGCTGTAATCATGCTCTACCGCAAGCTGAACGAAAAATTGAACCATGACAAAAGAACAAGTCTTGAAGGGTGTGTCAATAAAAATTTTCGATTCTTGTCAGCAAATTTCGCAGAGTGTTGCAAATATGTACTTCAATTAATTCGTACTTGTTTTCATGCTTTGAGCGTCACCTTCGTATAGCCATCCCAAAGCCCACCATATAGCGCCAGTACACTTGATAAACATTAGGGCTTCACTGGTATACGTTTTTCCATATACTTATTCGCCTTTAAAGCGTCACCAGCGTTACCGCATCTGTTCTTTCAAAAAGTGTCTAAATTTTTTAGATATTATCGACGTTCACTTGTAACGTAATATGAACTCCAGTTAAAAAATACCTCCACAGAAAAAATAATAAGCAATAATAAGGAGCAAATTATTAAAAACGCAAAAGACAGAGGAAATTATTAAAAACGCAAAAGACAGAGGAAATTATTAAAAACGCAAAGGACAGAGGAAATTGTTAAAAACGCAAAAGACAAAGGAAATTATTAAAAACGCAAAAGACAGAGGAAATTATTAAAAACGCAAAAGACAGAGGAAATTATTAAAAACCCAAAGGACAGAGGAAATTATTAAAAACGCAAATGACAGAGGAAATTATTAAAAACGCAAAAGACAGAGGAAATTATTAAAAACGCAAAAGACAGAGGAAATTATTAAAAACGCAAAGGACAGAGGAAATTGTTAAAAACGCAAAAGACAGAGGAAATTATTAAAAACGCAAAAGACAGAGGAATTGATTAAAAACGCAAAAGACAAAGGAAATTATTAAAATCGAAAAAGACAGTGGAAATTATTAAAAACGCAAAAGACAGAAAATTATTAAAAACGCAAAGGACAGAGGAAGTTATTAACAACGCAAAGGACAGAGGAAGTTATTAAAAACGCAAAGGACAGAGGAAATTATTAAAAACGCAAAATAAGGAGCAAATTATTAGAAACGCAAAAGACAGAGGGAGTTATTAAAAACGCAAAGGACAGAGGAAATTATTAAAAACGCAAAAGACAGAGGAAATTATTAAAAACGCAAAAGACAGAGAAAATTATTTAAAAACGCAGAATAAAGAGCAAATTACTAAAAACGCAAAAGACGAAATTATTAAAAACCCAAAAACAGAGGAAACTATTAAAAACGCAAAAGATAGAGGAAATTATTAAAAACGCAAAGGACGGAGGAAAATATTAATTTTGTTATTTATTTTATAGTAACTGGTAGAAATACTATAATATAACGTTGTAACTCAAATTAAATTGATAAGTGAAGTTTATTATTATAATATTTATTTTTATTTTTCTCGAGTACTATGCCGCGAACCCAAATTAAAATGTAGATTTCAATGAAATAAACCGATAAAGCTTTTTAATTGACTACGATTTTCTCCGTTTTTATTTCTCGCCATGAAAACGTTCGGGAAATTAGCGAACCATCTTTTTAAGCTTTTCGCACCCGACGGGCTCTAACACTGGGAACTTCTCCCCGGCTCCCTCGGCTCTGCTGACGACTTGTTTTTATGTAAAAACCGCCGATTGAAGCGTAGCGAGGAAAACAAAATACAAATTGCGACGCAGGAGGAAGAGCGCGACTGTCGCCCGAAGGAAAATAGGAAATGTATTTTCCCGGCCCCGCACCTGACACCAGGCGTGTCATCCGATATTGATTTTAAAGTTTTTAATTTTCGGGCACTCGAGACGACGTCTGCACGCCACTGTTCGCGGTCGTGCTTAATTACAGTGGAGAAGAAATATATCTAATTTCATTTATTTGTTTCCATCTGACCAATTGTAGGAATTGTAATTTCATTTCGTATAGTCTCGCACTTGTCGCTGTGGGTAAAACTTCACGATCTGGGTGTGAGCACCATAATCATTGTGAATTACAATACTTTTGGAATTACACAACACTGTATAAGAAAGAGGGATGCATTTATTTAAAAATATATTCGTATGTCTTACAAAATAAAACTGGAAGCAAACAGAGACAAATACGTAAATAACTTAAAAAAAAAATGGAACAGCACAATTGATTTAGATGAGTTAAACGTTTAAAATTTTTGGGCACTTTGTTATCAAAAAGTAAGCGACAACGAATGTATAGGATAATTGGAATCTATTTTTTATCCTTTTGTATGATAGCAGACGTTAAATTTTATTTAGAAGAATCATTTTCCCTTTGAGTTTGAGGAATGACCCCAGAATAATATTTCAAAATATACCAATGACAGAAAATTACTAAAAGACGCCATAACAACACTTATCAGCTCAAAGATTTGGGTACTTCTCAGTATGCCTTCACCGTTGAAGGTTAGCATCGTATCTAAATTCAAGAATTGAAAATTATTCCAGTATTATCGGGATTCTTTTATATTTTATGTTGTTCTAAAAATGATGTATTGTGTTTTATTCTTAATTGACAATGAAAATTGCTGCCTAGGCGCTAGCGATTGATTTAAATAAATGATAAAACTCAAGGAACCTAGAATGCTACTTTGAGGCACATGGAGTAGGAAAAAAAGGTTTGCTGTTGATTTTTTATAGGTACTGCTTGAATTTTTGTTCCAAATGCGACTCCAATCATAACAACGTTGGCCTTCTCACTCCATACTTGTCGAGTTGATTTAGAAGACGCGTGGTAAACGGAAAGTCTTGGAAATGACCTACAGAGCCAAATGTTAATCACACCTGTAAGTTTAATAAAAAAAACATATAACGACATTATATGACGCAATACCAACTTGAGCTATAAATATCTAGAGGGTGTCCCGTATTCTGTGACCCAACATAAGAATAAAAGTTCATATAAATTAGGATCCAAAATGTCTTAGTTTTTAACATGCACGGTGTAAAATTTGAAGAGGTCCAGGTGATGGCGATTTTTGTAAATATTTTCGAAGCACGTAAACATATTTAAATAAAATTTGGTTAGTCACTAAACTTTTTAAGCTCTATTTAACGAACAGAAACATAGTGTTGGATGGTGGGTAACCCGGGGGAGGCGTAGTAAAAATTGAAAAAAATTGTTTTTTTGTCTAATTTTCGACTACAAAATTTGATAACCTGAAGTTTTCTACGTAAATAAGGTACCCTTGTCGCACCTCGCTAGAACACACCATTTGTGAGAACAATGCTTTCGAAAATTTAATTACAAATTATTTCTTTTAATTTTAACGTTAACAATCGAGGTGCAGATAATCATTAGTATGCTTTGGAAGTTAATGACGCGTTTCATTTGTTTGCATTGTTGGGTACCTAAATAAAAATTAAATGTCAATTACTCGACAGCTTTCAAGTTTGTTCATTGTTGGTATAAAATAGTTTTTACTTTGATTGTTCTTATAAATCTTTTTATTAACGGAAGACAAATCAAACTATCAACTCTAAAGCTAATTATTCTAATAAAAATTATAAACTTTACATTTGAAAGAAGATTGATTGTTGATGAAAAATAAGCTATTTAAATCTGATGGCGTTGTTTTCAAATACATAATTAATAATAATAACTAATTAGGCGGTACAATAGTATCGTAGTAGGTTTCCTAAACGTCGAGTACCTGATTGTCGAGTTTTTGTTAATGCACATAGGCATTTATAAGAACAATCCCATTAAAAACTATTTTTTACCAACAATGAACAAAATTGAAGTGTGTCGAATAATTGACATTTAATTTTTATTTATCCAGCAACACAAACGAATGAAACATGTCATTAACTTCCAATGCTTACTAATGATTATTTGCACCTCGATTGTAAACTTTAAAAAATAAATTGTAATTAAATTTTCAAAAGCATTTTTCTCGAAAACGGCGTGTTCTAGCAAGGCGCGACAAGGCTACCTTATTTACCTAGAAAACTTCAGGTTATCAAATTCTGCAGTCAAAATTACGAAAATTCGATATATAAAAATTTTTCCCACGCCTCTCCGTGTTACCCACCCCTGAAGACGATCCAATATTAAGTTTTAGTTCGTTAAATAGGGCCTAAAAGAGTTTAGTGACTGCACGAGATTTTATTTAAGAATATTTACGTGTTTCGAAAATCCTCACAAAATATCGGCATCACCATGTTAAAAACTAAGACGTTTTGGACCCTAGTTTATATGAACTTTTATCCTTATTTTGAGTCACAGAATACGCGGTTAACATATGAACGTTTAATTTCCGAACACCCTGTATACAATCAAAAATTATATCCTACATTAAGGCTTTCTGAATGCTTAAGTGAATTAAAATTAGAACTAAAGAAAACAAATACAGAATACTAGTTTTACTTTAAATTATGATTATATTAAACTTATTTCATTTTACGCTGAAAACAAAGTTTCGGTTGACGCGACGATCTTAATTTGCAGGAAACTAGCCACCGATTTTAATACTTTTTAATTCGATGCTATTTTTTATGTCCAGTGTGTCCCTCGGATACGCTCTTGCTTTTTATATACTCGAGGATAAACTGTAGCCACTTGGGGCGTCGAATTTTATCCTCAACACGTTTTGTTGATTTTTTTACACGCGGATAAACCAAACCAGACCAATTCGCGTACGTGGCTGAACCCTAATCCCAGTTATTC